AAATTGAGTGGCCAGCCTTGTCATATCACTATTTTTGTAACCCTTGCCTATAATCACCATAAAGGCCTGTCGAACCCTTCCCCCCAAAAGAAAGAAAAAAAATAACATTTAAAGATCAAGTGACACATCATTTATTCTGGCTCTGATGGGTTCTTTGGACCGTGGGTGGTATAGGACTACTGGTAAGATGCAGAAAAGTTTAATTATTCACATATGATTATTTTCCCCTTACTTGCATAGCTTGCATTATTACTTAAGGCAGTTTGAAAAAACTTTCACAACAAAAACGAATGAATAGCAAGTATGTCTCCTGTCTATAGTTTTAGTATTATTTATTGATTGATTGACTTTATTGATCTCAACGTGGAGAAATTGACCTGTTAAATCGGCTCAAATACTCGAAAAGACGTGGAAGGTGCCAGAGGAAGAAAATTCTTTCTGTATATTTGATCAGTCTTCCTGCGATGAACAACATAGCTCATCTGATTGTTCAATCTGGCTTTTATCCAATATTCACTCATTTCCAATGCAGTTTAAAAGCAGGAGTTTAGTGTTATTCTAGAACATAATGTTTTAACTATTACAAAACCTTTTTATTGTGTTGGATAATCCTGTTGGAACATCTAACTGTGTTCAGGTTATTACTGCATAACTCAAACTCTCTTCTCAGATGAAAACATAAATCCAGGATCATTGTGCTTGTAAACTAAGTCCAACATAATCAACTGAGAGGTTAAAGATCAAGAAAGAAGCCACTATCGCAAATATGTCATATTCAAGTTTTATGGAAATGTGCAGTTCCCAAGATGCAAAACTTGCTCCAAATTTCCACTGGAAATTTATTTTTTGTTTTGTTATTCAAATAAAAAAAATTATTTAAAGGTCAGTGTATAAAGCTTAAAAAACAAAGAGCATTTACCAAGCTTCTAGCATTGTAACAGCAGCATTGCAATGTTATTTTTTGTGAGTTGATATAGATTGAATGGGTGGAGAAAGGCTGCCTCCATATTGAATATGTCAGCTTCACAAACTGTAAACTAAGTGGCCTCCCATTTGAATCATGTGTGTTCCAATAAGACACTCAAGAGTCTAAAAGCCATTTAACATGTGGCCACTTAATTATTTCAGACCTCAGTTCTATTAAATGAGCAGACTATTCCCGAAAGCAAGGCAGTCAAACTACCTGTCTATTCAGTGAAATGTTTTTTTACATAACTGCTAAAGGGCTAATTTTGCTTTTGTTTACAAATTTTCTGGGCCATCTTGGTTGTGATAAACTATAGATTTTTTTTATATGTTAACAGCAATTTCACTCCTCTACAAAGATCTGATTTCTGGAGTACATCAGTAAGATCTTTCCTGACAATAGACTACTCCACCAGAGCAGTAGCAACTCCTACAGGAATAATATGAACCCTTTGCTTCCATGCCCACACTGCAAAAATGATCTCAAATTGAGTAAAATTGTCCTAAATTAATGGTATTTACCCTTCATTTCCGCAGGTAAATAAGGATTTGCCAATGGAACGAGTATTTTTACTCTTAAAATAAGGTATGTAGATATTATACAGTTGAAATAAGACAATGCAATTGTTTTTCTTATTTTAAGTGTAAATTGCCTTGTTCCATTGGCAAAATGCCTCACTTAAATCCTTAATTCAATAAAAAAAACGCACTTATTTTAAGAAAAAAATACTTATTTTGATTTTTTTTTTTTTGCAGTGTACAAAATGCTCTCATTGTCTTGTGCAAAACAAACAAACAAAAAAACATAACCTATTGTAACACTTAGAACAATCAGTATGGTAGTGATCAGCATGATAAATGTACAGTAAATTAACTTATTGGACATTGGACTTGTAACATGTCATGTTTTTCTAAACTTTTGGTATACCCAAAGGAAATTTATCACTTGTTGAGTAAAAATCAGATAGTTGTTTCTTGCAATATGTTGAGCTCTGATGCCTACAACACGGAGGAAATATTTCTTAAGAAATGTTTAGCTGTTGTTTAGTTATTCTCAAAGAAGGATGATTTTATTTTTCATCTCCTACCTTTTGTTTTTAAGGATTTTGGATTTTCTGTTTGCAAATCTACTGCTACTCTGCTGCTTTTTGTGTTTTTACAAAGTGGACTAGGGTGTTTATCCTGCCACCGTGCTTTCATCTTAAATGATTGGTCTTCCTTTTCCTTTCAGAGAGTTCTCATATTTAGCCTCTTCCTTTTGCACATGAATTTTTTCCTGTGCCACTGGCTGCAAAACTAGTCTGCAGCATGATCTACAATATACTCCTTTGGGCTTTAAAGTAGGACAGGTCTGTTTTATGCAAGTGTCTGTCTCTGGTCTTGTTTCCAAGCACAGCAATTCTAATTGTAGTCTAAAAATTGTCATGTTTTTTTAAGACACATTCAACTTGCTCATTTCTTCAGAAAATTTTGCAAAAAGGGAATCCAAGAGGCTGTATTCTGCTGTTGACTATGTCATGAAGGGTCATATTTTTGTTAGATATTTCTAAAGGTTTTATTTTTGGATTTTATTTGCCTTTGCGGCAAATCTGAAAGCATTCCTCCCAGATTTTTTTTTTCCCATTGAGTGCATAGCCTCTGCTAATCCGGCTACCTGCTCTTTCCTTTATAAAAATATGACCTGAAAAAAGCATTCATCAGAAAATGTTTTTAGCTTTAAAATTTCAAAAACACTTTCACCTTTAATACCCGTGATGTACTGTGGTAAAATAATTCAATCAGCAATAGTAAAATTCCCTTTTTTTAAAATAGGCCTGGTTATGCTCTAGAATAGGAATATCTTCATATTCTAGAGCATAATAGGGGACTGGTAAAAATGTACTTCCTCCAAACCCAATCGTGGGTGGTGATTAACCCCTACAGCTAGAAAACTGGGCATCTGCATGCCCAGCCCACATGTACCCTTATAGGTTACACAACTTGTCTGAGAAGCACTATAAAATTGATCTTACTTGTTAGGAAGACACCCCCACATGTCATGGGTATTTACGTCTTTTTATGGCTTGTGCCCATAGACTTTGTGTAAGCAAAGTTTAAAGGAACTTTCCCTGCTGAGGATAATTGATTCTCCTAACTCTAAAGGAATCATAAAGCTCCTTCACAAAGCAGACCGTTAGTCCTCTATTAACAGTGGTTCAGTGTGCTTCTGAAGCCAATTTCCATATTAATGTGCTCGCTCTTATACTCATAAAAAAAGAAAACAAACACGCTTGCATGCATCAGCCCACATATTTTCATATGGGACATCCTCTGGTGTGGAAAATGAAACAGTAAAAGATCAATTCTTGATTCTTTGTGAGGAAGATGTGGGGGAGTTACGCATCGTTTATCATACATAATGGTTTCTTGTATTAGCTCGCTATCTTTTTTCTATTTTTCTTGATATGGGTGGAAAAATTAAGTGTTACCCTTTTATGTTCCTTATAATTTAGTTGATGCAGGATATGTTTCTGATTTCTTTTTTTCCGCACATTTTGTTGATTTGGTTGATCAGCTACAGCCTTTCTATGTCTCAATTTCAATTGTACTTATTAAAGTGCTTCCCTTTTTAGTCCTTAAAAAGTTCCCATACCTATTGAACCTCTAAATGTTTGGTCAGGTTACAGCAAGATTCTTTTGAAATGGTAGGGAATGGTAGAGAAAAGCAATGAAAATGTGAAGTGATGAAGGTATTTCAATTGTTCAATTGATTGATTAAATTATTGATTTGGAAAACGACTCAGAAAAGCAGGTCACGTTGCCTCCCGCTCTGCTCAGAGCATACATCCCGGTGTCAGGTACCTCGGATCGTTAGAACATCAAACCAACAACCAAAAACACCAAAATTGCCTCTTCTCTTCATACTACGGCTCGAGTCACATGATAAATGGGCTCAAAAGCATAAGCAATTTGATTAAGACACTTCAGTGTTCTTTCAGCTTTGTCTTCCATCATACCAAATGTTTTAAGTGTTTTATGGTTGGGATATATCGCTGAAATATAACTGTTTGAGGTACTGCAATAAGGTGGCACCCTTACCAAAACTATGATAAAACAAAACTTTCTTTATTTTAGGTGTATATTTTTCAGATTTGTATTGACATTTTTTTTATAATAGTAAGATATAATATTTTAAATTATTTTAGTTTGTTTAACTATTTAATTTAATCTTTAACAGACCGGAGCTTGGGGCAGTGATTTGCCCTCCTAGCAAGACTATTAATGCCTTAGAATGGCTGAGTCAGAGGCCCAACCTAAAACCAGTAAAAAAATACCAAAAAGATATTGTTCACAGACACTCTTTATCTACTTTAAAAAGCTTGGGCTGTTCTTGAAAAATTATGGAAAACATTTTAATCTCTAGATGTATAAAGCTGGTAGCCTAGCTTACGTCTAATGAGGCATAACGTATATGCCCACAACTCTCAGAATTTATAAAAAGTTATCCGTTAAAATTGTAGACTATGTTAAAACCTATTTTTGATACAGTAGAGGTTTATGTTGGATCATCAAAAAGAGTAAAATACACCCACCCAAGTTTTAGCTTTTAATGTAACAAAATGAGAAAATATTGAAAGGGTAGTGATATTGAGCCACATACTGTAGATATTTGAATTGGCCTCATAACAATATATTAACTTTTACTGTGTTAGACCATTATCCTTTTCAGACAGTTAATTATAATATAATATAATTCAGCATTTAAAAAAATATATTTTTTGTGTAAAAGTTGACTTCTTTTTTTTTTCCTTTTTCCTAAGTGGCAGTTGAAGGAATAGGCAATTTCTTTCCATTAAATTCTTTCAGAAAGATATTTCATGAAGGTTGGAATTTAATTATAATATATATGCCGGTAATAATACTCTTTGCAATGGTGGATGAGAGTCATTTAGAATTTTTTTTAAAAAGCATGTGTTATGATATGAGATCATTCAAGTTGAAGCAAGTGCTATTATAACAGATTCCTTTTTTTCTCTTCTCTTCTCTTTTCTCAGAGGATGAGCTGCAGCTACCTGCTCTGCACTATCCTGCTCTTTGTGGCGGTTTTGCTTGCCGTCACCGTAACTGGCACCATCCTTTTCATGAACCACTACCAGGCTCCACCTTTGTCTGATGGCCTACCCCACATTTCCACCAATCAGGATGAAGCAAATGCCCTGGTTACTGTGGAGAGGGGAGACGGCTCTCGTATCAACATCTTCATTGACCCCAACTGTCCTGACTATAACAGTAACTTCATGCGGCTCGAGGGTGTGCAGACCTCACTGCTTCACTCACTCACCGACCACGACACTGACCTGAAGTCGGTCAAAGGCCAGGATCGCGCCCTGCTTGTCAGCTTGGCTGAAGAGGTGTCCAAGCTCTCTGCCCATGCAGGACAGCTGAAGATGGACTACGAATCCTTGCGCAGGGGTCAGAGCAGCCTTGGTCAGGACTTGAATACTCTACAGACGGAACAAGGACGTCTCATACAGGTAAGGCCCCAATACCTTAGAGAATGCATGTCCAGTTTAAGACTTGTGTCACTCATAGTTACAAAAATAAATTATTGTAGAATCTACCTTGACTTGGGCCATAAAGACTTGAAACTTAACTTGGACTCTTAAGGCCCATTTACCAAAAGCCGAATTCAGAAATTCCAGGAAAGGAGTTCAGGTTAGACTAGCCCTAGCATAAGGAAG